GACAAGATTCGTTATTCAAGCAATCAAACTTACAACTACCTGGGATAGAAGGAAGTGGTTATAAAAAAAAATGAGATCACGATTAAAACACTGTATTTTGTTCCTAATTAACGTCATGCATTCTCTTGTTTAATTTCATAAAATACTGTAGACACGTTTGATAAATCCAATTCCTCTCTGATTGCCTGCTCGGTGTTGTATATAAGGAAATTTCCCTGGCTGTTTACGTGACTCGAGTAAACTCGCATTCCGCGTGTCGGATCGGTTTTCGACACGTGCGACAAGTGTTTCCCAAGAGATAGAGAATTCGACTGCGTGATGTAACGCCGGCTGCTCTTCGCTCGATAAACATTCAAACGTGATATCGCTCGTATTTATGCGTGTACGAGCTGCACTTTATTGATCACACGCCGCCGTGTAATCTCGTTATACTCACTGGAATATTACCGTGCCAGCAATTCCCTCTACTCAATTTTATCAAGGGAATAAAAATTTCATCATATTTCCTGTTTAAATTGCATTTTTACTAAAAATCTCCTGCCTCTGATCCTAAATTTTTAATTAGGGATTTCATTTTTCTGAATTTTTAATTATTTTCTCATCATTTTTTTTAAATATTTTATTTTATTTTATTTAAGGGTTCGTTTCCATGCAAAACCGAGGGATTTCTGACCCTCGGACACGAGTTCTCAGGAATTGTGCAGGCAGTGGGTCCCATGGTGAAGAACATTAAAGTCGGTCAGAAGGTAGCGGTGGACCCTAACAGCGGCTGCAACACGTGTACTTATTGCCACGAAGGGACTTACCAGCACTGCAGCGCAGGTGGCATAAACAATACCATTGGAATTTTCAGAGACGGTGGATTCTCAACGCACGCAGTCGTACCCGAGAGCCAGGTTCGACATTTCACTAGATTTTACTAGATCATTATTATATCATTAACCCTTGAATAATTAGGGACTTCCGAGGTTTCATTGTTTCACTCATTTTACACTTTATTGTAACTATGAGTCTAGTGGATTTTATGAAAAATATTTAAAACACACGGTTCTATTAATGTTGTGATATTGAGAGCGTGGGCGGGGTTTAAAATACGTTGGGAAAAGTTATTACCAGATTTCCGTGAAGTTATCAGAGTCCAATTTAATCTCAATTACCGAGTACGCTCTTTCGCTAAATCGGTTTCATCTTTAAATATATATTTAAAAATGAATTTTACTCTGATTCGTGAAATAATTATGCAAAACTCGAGTTAAATCTCTTGACAAATATATTAAAAAATTTATAACACTCAGATCATCTACGTAGCAAATCCACTAACACTAAAGGGCATTCGTATGAGTCTATGTGTGTGTGTCCGTCCGCCTTAACAAGGAAAACCCTTCCGGAGAGTCTAGCTATTCCACTACTACTAAAGGGCATTTGTATGTGTGCCTGTGTGTGTATGCTTGCTTGCCTTAGCAAGGGCAACCCACCCAGAGGGCCCAACTAGTTTACTACTACTAAAGGGCATTTGTATGTGTGCCCGTGCGCTTTAGTAAGGGTAGCTCGCCCAGAGGAGCTATCTAGCTAGTCCACTACTACCAAAGGGCATTTGTGTGTGTCTCTGTGTGTGTCCGTCCACCTTAGTAAGAGCAAACCATCCAAAAGGCCTAGCTAGCTAGTCCACTACTACTAACAGGCTTTTGTATGTGTGCCCGTGCGCCTTACTAAGGGCAACCCGTCTGAAGGACCTCGGTAGCTAGTCCACTACTACTAAAAGGCTTTTGTGTGTGTGCCCGTGCGCCTTAGTAAGGGCAACCCGTCTGAAGGACCTAGCTAGCTAGTCCACTACTACTAAAAGGCTTTTGTATGTGTGCCCAAGCCCCTTAGTAAGGGCAACCCGCCCGTAGGACCTAGGCTGAGGACGGGAGAAGCTAGTAGCTGAAATGATACTGTCTTTATGGGAAATCTTGAATTTTTATTAAGGTTCACATAGTACCAGATGGCATTGAGCTACACCAAGCAGCCCTTACAGAGCCTCTTTCGTGTTTGGCCCACGGATGGAAAAGACTGAACGGAGTCGACGTTGGTAACAGAGTCCTCATAATCGGAGCTGGAATCATTGGTCTCTTATGGACCTGCATGATGCACCTGCGTGGTCTCAGGAAAACCGTGACGATCAGTGAACCTCAAGAGAAACGACGAAAGATGCTATCAAATCTAGGTAATCATCAATTCCAAAAATGCCTAAATTCAAAGATTTAGGTAGTTCATTGAAGGAATTAAGATCTCTTTGGTAGACTTAAAAATTGTCGTCATTTCATTTAGAATCTCTCGTTGCAAGCATCACTTCGTCAATTTATTATGTTTCTTTGATGTCTTCTCTATTAATCACTTCATTCATTTATTATACTTCACTGATATCTTCTTTAAAAATCAATTCGTTGATATCTTCTCTAAAAATCACTTCATTCATTCATTATATTTCATTGATATCTTCTCTAAGAATCACTTCATTCATATCTTCTTTAAAAATCACTTCATCAATTTATTATATTTCATTGATATCTTCTCTAAAACTCACTTCATTCATTTATTATACTTCATTCATATCTTCTTTAAAAATTACTTCATTTCAAAATTCATACCAATCAAAATTTGTGATGTCCAAACAGGACGTATCCTAAAACAGGTACCTCGTTATCTCTTCATAGTATAATTACCGAGTACCACTTCATATTATCTTCTCTATTATCTTATCTGTGATATCTTCTCTCAGAACCACTTGATCAATTTAATATATTTCATTAATATTTTTTCTATCATTTAAATAAAACTTTGACTTTTCAGATTTGGGCTTCGATGCGAAATCTCCTGACCAATTAAAAGACAGTTACGATCTAGTAGTGGACTGTAGTGGTTCAGCGCCTGCTATCCAAGGTGCCATACCATTGTTAGCGCCAGGTGGCCGCTTATGCGTGTTCGGTGTCGCTAATCCTCAAGCGAAATTCAGTATCGAACCATTCCAGGTACGTTACTCACTACCACATCATCGCTTCCAAGTATATGAATCATTACCGTAATCAGACATATGAGTAATTATTACAC